ACCAACTGCGTACGACCCTCAAGAAAAGACCTTAACCAATTTAATACGTTGCCTCTAATAATATATGAACAAAGCTTGTGTATTAAAATATCAACATAGATCAAGTCAAATGCTCTTTGTAGATCGAACAAAACGCTTATATAAAGAGAGGATGGCATCCTGCGTTGATCTCTTTTTTCGAAACCAAATTTCATGTTCGATTGTCCAAAAAATTTGAAAGTCTTGAATGCAGTGTTTTTTCGAAGATTTTTGAAGAAACAGACAGGAGTGCTATAGTTTTATAATTTGAAATAATTGTTGCAGCATTTTTTTTTATAGAGTGGCGTGATTACCGCATTTTTTAGAATGCTGTGAAAGGATTCATGCAAAAAGTAATAATTCATGAGCTATGTGGTCGGTTCTACAAGTGTCCACCACATGCCTTTTCTTTCGCCTACTCCTAGTAGAGGGGAATATCACTTAAAATTTGTCGATTACGAGGCAAAATAGAAAATTGCTTTCAGGCAACCTACACCTGTAACACGTTTTACTTACTATTGAAAACGAACAAAAAGTCAAAAATTGCATTAGAAAACTGGTTAAGGAACGAGAACTAATAAACATCAAACGTCAAGCAGATGATGAATTTACGGCCGTGTTTATGCTTGACGTGGAATTTAAGTATTTAGACGACGAATCAATAATACGCTCACACCTTTTCCGTGAGATATTTTGTTATCAGTTCCGAATATCTTATGATACATTTGCCGGCGGATATACACGTCGAAAACTCAATATTTCGTTGTTTGATTTTTCGGGCGCCTCCATTTTCTCACCAACAATGTGTCTCGCATCTTACGTTTTGAAAACAATCAATCGGAGAATTGTATGGTAGATGTTTCAGAAATTGATCGCGTTACACGCTCACGCGAAATCCTTCGGGCGATACAGCGCTTTCGACGTTATTTTTCAAATTTCGCTCGCAATGCTTCTTCTCGCCCACGATTTTCTCCGCATAAAACTTTTCTCTTTATTTCGGACGGATTTAATTTAAAAACAAATCCATTTGCTACGCTCCTCCTGGGCTTTTCTCCTGATATCAATTCGTAGCGGGCACAGGTTTGGGGATTTACCATTGGCTACATTAGCAGTTGTAACGTTGAAATAATTCAGGGACATTTTCTGATATTCTAAGCCTAATGTAAGGTTTATGTTTCTAGTAGGTAATTAGAATCTTATTTACTGATTTTGCACGGAACTAGTTTTATCATCAATATTAAGTTTTAATCTTCAATACTAACAAACCTGAACATGGTGCTGCCATGAATCTTATAAGTCGATGACAATCCAGATTAAAATTAGCATAACCCTTTCTTCATTAACTCGTGGCTCGAGGACATGATCGAAAATAAGAACTTAAAGTTCAGAATTTCACGAAATTATATATTTTGACATGACAATTGCGTCGACGACACCGTGTCTTTATCAAATGTAATATTTACAAACCACCTGCTACTATATACACCGAAAAATGACAATAAAATCTTAATTAATGTTGTTGTGAGAATTTAAGTTCAATAAAGGAGAGGTATTTAAATCTAATTGATCGCGAAGCAATACATTTGAATGTCTCATTTTTTTAATCTCCATGGCTTCCAATAAATTTGATTTTCTACTTTGCTTGGCTGTATTTAAATATCAAAATTGTCGCCAAAATGTGTTTTTCTGTGTTTAAGTATGTAGCATAATTAGAATCTAGACTATTATTTTTAAACGCTCTTTTATGTTCGTTAATACGTTCTTGAAGGATCTACCTGTTTGTCCAATATAAATTTTAGGACAAGATCCGCATTTCAACCTGTAGACACCTGATTTTTGAGATTTTGGACATGTCGTTTTATTGTTTTTTAAAAATTTTCCTATTGTGTTGTTAGTTCTGACAGCTATTTTTAAACCACATTTTGACAAATGTTTTGAAAGTTTTTCACTAGGTTCTCCTATGCATGTAATTGTTTTAAAATTGTTCGTGTTCTGTATTAGGTTTCGGATAAATAGAGTTCATTGTTGTCTGGATTTGTTTTTTTATTTATAATTTTATCTATAATGGACGAATTGTAGCCGTTGTTAATTGTAGTGGCGTATTAAGAAGTCTGTGTATAAAAGAATGAAATGCAGCCATTTTGTGTGCATAAAGGTGATTTAAGCTGTTATGTATGAGTGTATCCGTGTGTGAAGGTTTATGATAAATGGAGAAATCTAATTTGTTTTGCATTTTCGTAATAGTTAAGTCTAAAAAATAAATAGAGTAATTTAAAAAAAAATTCAATTGTCTGTCCGTTCCAACAAAGCAAACAAAGACGTTATCCACGTATCTATACCACCCTAGAAAACTTTTACTTAAAGAATGTTCTAGTATGACATTTTCCAAATTATCCATAAAAATCTAGGCTAACAAAGGACTAAGTGGGTTTCCCGTAATCAAACCTTCCTTAGAGATGTAAATCTATCCATTAAATTCAAAATAATTTTGGTCTAACGATACTATTAAGCAATCTAAAAAATCTTGTTTCACTAATGGGTAAAGTCTCTTTTAAATTTGCAGGAGAAGGAGAGAATGGAGCATTTATTTTTTGCACTTTTTTTAGAAAAATCGCGAATGTTAATGATTTGATTATCTCTCTTGATGTCTTGATAAATTAAGGTTAACTATGAATTGAACTGAGGAGGCTTTTACTTGATGAAAATCCATTTATCAAAATAAATAAGAACTAAAAGTTCAGATTTTGACGAAATTATATATTTTGACATGACAATTGTTTCGACAACACCGGGTCTTTATCAAATAACATTTGATCATGTCAAAATATATAATTTTTTGAAAATCTGAACTTTTAGTTCTTATTTATTTTGTTCACTATGAAGTTGAGTAAACTTAGAAAAATTAATTTTATTTAAATTAAACTAACTTTGAACAAAATTGTCATATCTAAAAATGTATAGGTTTTGAAATATTAACAGTATTAGATTTCTCTATTGTAAAAGTTATCTCCTCAGGTTTCCTTCTTGGAAAAATTGATTTTTTTTTGGTACCACTCAGAAAATATACATGAAATGTTACTAATACTTTTTATAAAACTTCTGGATTCCTTCAGCGTCTTTTTTTGTTGAGTCGAACTAGCTCCATATTAAAGATGTTAAACCTTCCATCCCAAAATACCAATAGCAATGAAGCTGAAAACAATCCCACACTTGCCACTGTTGTCCTTCCTTACATTCAAAACATCACTGACCATATATGAAAAATTCTAAAGAAATGTAACGTCAAAACCAGATTCTCCAATTGTCCAAAACTCTCTCAACATCTTAGAGTATGCAGCATTCCATGCATATGCGGCGAAGAATACATTGGATGGACCGAAAGAAAAATATCAACCAGGCTCAGAGAACATGAAAGAGCCTTAAAGACTAAAGCAAATAAACTCATCAGAACCCGGACATAACATTTTATTTGACGAAACTAAAATTATTGCATGGAATCCATTCTTCTACCAACGAAAAATCCGAGAGTCTATAGAAATCTATAAGCAACTTAACAATCATAACCGCGACTCAGGTTTTCAACTGTCACCAAAAGCTAGTTAATATTTATACAGCCAGGTACTCGATATATATTTTTAATCTCCTAGGACGACGTATTATACATTTTTGGTGTAATATATGTCAATTAAATAATAAAAAATGCATTCTTAACAGATATTCATCCCATGGATTTAATTTTATTTATTAACTGGCATTACTTTAATAAAATATTTGAGTAAGTATTATTTTAAATTAATTAAATGCAGAAATATGCAGGTATGCAGTTGCTACTGCCTGGACCAGTGCGAAATGTGCAATTAGTAATGTATAATAATTTATAAATTCTAAAATTTCTGAACATTACTCCTGGTATATCGAGTTTGTTTCGATTATTCCCTAACGAAGGTAGCTATCGACGCCACTGAAACACCGGACCGCTAGTTATTAAAGCACATATCATTAGGAAATGATTCTTACCTGGCCCACTCCTGCCTTGACGCTCCAATGTCAATAAACTAAAAGACAGACGAGATCTCATCAATGAATTTAATGTCAAGCAGCTTTTATCAAGTTATATCTTTATTATTTGCAGTGTTTTCAACAAGGTCGTGAGAATTTCCCTTACACATTGCTGGAACAACAATCACCCATCGTCAACGAAACATACTAGTTCTACATCATCAATCAAATTCACAATGTAGTTGGATATAGATCGAAAACAAAACAGAGTCAAGCAATGCATCTACCCAACTTCTAGAACTATGCACATTGTTACAATTTGCCATTTAATCTAAATAATTTTCCTATTTGCGAAAACTTGTAAAAAATGAACCCTGAAATGTTTCCACCATACTTAATATCGTCATAGCGTATGAAGGACCAATAATAGCATATTATGCAACAAGTGCGGTAAACGGCATTTGACTCACGAGTTTATTTGACACGAGCGGAGCGAGTGTTTAATAAAGGAGTGACTTAAAGAGTTTACCGAACATGTTGCATACAATACTTTTTCTAGGGCCGTTAGTTTTTGCAAAACCATACGAATCATTCACTGACTTGACCGTTAGAATTGACAAGCGTCACAATGCAAGCCGTGGGAAATATCTCCGAAAACATCCGATTGCTCCCAAAACCGTGAGGTAAAATCCAGGAAATGTCCGAAGTGGTTCAGATCCGTGGGAAACGAAACCGAAGTGGTAAAGTGGCTCTTCCCGCACTTTAGATCGGTGTGTAATGAGGCATTTTACAGACGGAAATAGAAAAAGTTATTTAAAACATTGAAGCACGATTTTGAAAAATTGCTGCGTTTTTATCTGTTACTGAGTATTTTTCCCAAATATGCTCCAACAATTTTCCAGTTACCAATGGGTTTTCAATAAAATTATAAGCGATCACCATTCTTCGCTTACTTTGACAGAGCGGCGTTTGTCCTATTTCAGGTATGAAGAAGAACACCTACGGCAATATAGAAGACCTAATCGTTCACGTGAAAATGGTGACCCCTCTTGGCGTCCTTCAAAAGAATACGCAGGCCCCTCGAATCAGTTGCGGGCCAGACTTTAACCATGTCATTATGGGCTCCGAGGGCTCTTTGGGGGTAGTTACGGAAGTGGCGATCAAAATTCGACCCTTGCCTCAGTGTAGACGTTACGGCTCAATAGTTTTCCCGGATTTCGCTGCCGGGGTGAAGTGTATGAGGGAAGTCGCCAGGAAGAGGTACATATGATAACTGTTATGTTGTTAAACTGACTAAAATTGTTAGGGTGAAGTTGCTAAAGGAAAAGGGAATAGTCAATTTATTCTGAAAAATTATGTCGCAGAGCAATTCCACTATGAATTTTGGTTCATTATTCATTTTGTGTTGCTTTGTCCAAGCTTTTTCCTTCTTTGGTTTATTAAAAAAGGCATATTTCAAAAAGTCCTCGACATATGGAATGGAAATATTTCAAAATCGTTACAAAACTGTGCATGATGTCAAATGTTTCTAATGCAATTTTATGTATACTTTCGGTCAGTCGCAAAATTTTTGAGTTTCCATAGTTATTTTTTTGTGTAAAATAATAATCGACAATATTTCGAAAACTATAGATGCGGATTTCCCTTCCAATAAAATTGTTTTTGACATTTTTCTCAATTTCATCTTCAATTTTATTCTTTTCATCCTGTAATAATCGTTACTAAATACATTTGTTTAAATTTCGTTTTTTAAAAAAGAAATTCCAACACGTATTAAATAATAAAAACGCTTTATTTAACTTATCCCTTCTTCTATAGTTTTTGAAAGAATATAATAGCGTTCCAAGATAAGCTGATATAACATAGGGTGACGAAAGCCGCAACACGTTAGTTGTATTAATTAAAGAACGCACTGTATATGTGCATAGTACCAATCAACTTCGTAAATAGTGTTTGTCCTTTAATTTTCTTTATAATTGCCCTATACAGCATTTTTGATACAGCCCTTTAATTTACTAGAGAATACTTCAGTAATAGTAATAATTAAAAAAGCTAATACTAAGAAGCCTATTTAAAAAAAGCCAGTCAATATTATTTTAATACAGCCCTTTACTTAATTTACATTTAGTCTTCTGAAATGATTTTTTTTTTTTAATTTTGTGATTCGTGTTTAATCAAAATAAAAAAATAACGCACATTGCATATTTGCTAACAGTTTATTTAAATTTTCGGTCCTTCAAATTTGCTTGATTTTTTTAAATTTGAATTTGGTTTTAATCGAAAAATTAAATGTTCCTAATTATTTAATAACAAAACAAATCCGATCGATATTACGTTTTTGGAGAGGAGGTTTATAATAAGCGACCAAAACTTTTAGCAATGAGCTGTTTATTGAAAGCGTCCTTTAAATTAACGAAAATAAGTAAAATTGGATTGGGGACGTTACCACGAATTTAATCTTATTTTCTAACATTATTTTAAGAAAATATTTGTGGGTAATTATTATTTTTATTTGTCAATTTAAATGCAGACAATATTATCGAAGCAGGAATCGTTAAAAGACAGTCGAGATCTTAATCTTAATTTGCCATTTAATCTAAACTGATTCGATGCGTTATAGCGTCAAATAATTTTCCTATTTGCGAAAACTTTTTAAAAATAAAGTCTTTATGTTTCCAGCATACTTAATATCGTTATAGCGCAAGAAGGACCAATAAAGTTATATAAAACATTGCATTTTCCCTTTTCCTTTTCAAAAATCCCAAATTCCAAATCCAAAATTTTTCAGTTAGTAATAGATTTCCAACAAAATTTCAATAAAAATAAAATTGTAATGTAAATTTTAAAAATTAATTAGCTTTCCTTTACCATTAATTGAAAATCAAATAGTTCGATGTTTTGTCGTTGCAATTATGCATTGTTGGGGTATTTTGGACTATCTGTCCGAAAACTAACATTAATATTTCCACTCGTATCTGAACTTGTTGTACTTTTAAACACGAATGTAACTTTGCTTTAGGAATGTAGGGTATTTTCTATTTTCTCAGATGTCAACCGGCTTCGATCCGCCTTATGGACAACGACCAGTTCAAATTCGGTTTGATCTTGAAGCCGGAAAGCTCGTGCGGGGGAGCACTGTTGGACGGTCTCAAAAAATTCTACATTACCAAACTCAAGGGTTTCGATCCCGACCGAATGTGCGTGATGACGTTGTTGTTCGAGGGCGACGAGTCGGAAGTGAAGAGCAGTGAGAAAAGGGTGTACGCGATTGGTACTCGTTTTGGTGGCTTATCGGCCGGACAGACGAACGGCGAGAGGGGGTACATGTTGACCTTCGTGATTGCTTACATAAGGGTAAGTTATTTTCCTAAGATAAGCTGAGAGATTAAGGGGTATTAAGTGATTTGTTAATTGTGTCACGCGTGGAAATTTCGGTGTACGTTGCTTCCTCTTTGACGTTATTAATAACTATAAAATAATAATTTATTCGTTTAGATAAAATACTTATATAAAGAATAGAATATATGCTATATAGAAGTAGACTATTAGTTAAATCAATTATAATGAATATATAATAGCTATGCCAAAGAAATAAGCTTTGCAAAATAGCAGCGAAAAAGTAGTTGATAGAATTAAAAAGTTTACAAGCAGTATAAAGATAATATAAGTAAAAAGAAATATAACAAATTACTGTTTATAAAACGGATTCCTCCTGCGTCGGGTTTTGTTAACTCGAACTAGCCAACGTTTCGCCAATCATCCTGTAGGCTTCTTCAGAGCTTGACTTAAACTGGCACGCATTTTACTCTGTACCTGGTTTTATATTGTTTGAAGGGGGCGGAGCTAAGTAAGGGGAATAAACACCGTCTCGGATGACTGATTCCTATATTGGTGACAGGTAGACACCTGAGTCGCGCTTAAGATTGTTAGGTTCTTCTTCTTAGGGTGCCTATCCGTTGCGAATGTGGGCGATCATCATAGCGATACGGACTTTGTCTCCCGCATTTCGGAATAGTTGCGTGGATCTTTTATTGAACCAGGTCCTGGGATTTTTAAGCCACGATATCCTGCGTCTCCCTGGTCCTCTTCGTCCAAGGATTTTTCCTTGTAGGATTGTTTGCAGTAGACCGTATCTTTCTTCATTCCGCATGATGTGACCTAGGTATTCTAAGTTGCGGGTTTTATTGTGTTCATTAGTTCCAGGTCTTTTTTCATTGTTCTCAGAACTTCCGTATTCGTTACTCTTGCCGTCCAGGGGATTTTTAGCATTCTCCTGTACAGCTATATCTCGAAAGCGTTTAGTATTTTGGCTGTGGTTTCGTTGAGCGTCCAAGATTCTGCACCATAAAGAAGAACGGAGAAGACGTAGCATCGCAGAAGCCTTACTTTAGTGCCAAGGGTGAGGTTGTGACTTTTGAAAAATGCACCCATGTGGTTAAAGGTTGATCTGACCTTTCCTATGCGTGTTTTTATTTCCTGTGCGTTATTCCAGTCCTCATTAATGATGGTTCCCAAATATTTGCAGTGATCCACTCTTTCGATAGCAGCTTGGTTTAAAATTAGATGACTTCCTGTTATTTTTTCTTTGCTGATTATCATAAGTTTGGTCTTATTTAAGTTGACTTCAAGGCCGTATTGACTGCTGCGCTGTGCAATTTTGTCCATCAGGGCCTGTAGGTCTTCGAGACTGTCAGCAAAGACAATTGTATCATCAGCATACCTGATGTTGTTGAGCCTGTGTTCATTTATCAAAATTCTCCTGTCCATGCCGTCCAAGGCTTCATTTAAGATGCAGTCTGAGTAGAGATTGAATATAAGCGGTGAAAATATGCAACCCTGTTGGACCCCTCGTTATATTTTTACGTAATCGGTGTGTTCTCCTTCCACTCTAAAATTAGCTACTTGGTTCCAATAGAGGTTCCCGATAATTCTCAGGTCCTTGTCGTCGATACCTGTTTCTTTCAGTATTTTGACCATAATTTCGTGTTTTACTCGGTCAAATGCTTTTTGATGGTCAATGGATATACGTCGCAATTCACGTCGCGACATCTCTGGAACAAGACTTGTACTACAAAGAGTGCTTCTCTAGTACCGACTGCCTTTACGCCTTTGTTAGGTTGTTTATAGATTTCTATAGACCCTCGGATTTTTTGTTTTTAGAAGAATTGATTACATGCCAGAATTTTAGTTTTATCGAATAAAATTTTATGTCCGGTTTCGTGAGTGTGTTCGGCAACAGCTGATGAGTTTATTTGTCTTAGTCTTAACGCTCTTTCATGTTCTTTGAGCCCAGTTTCGACCGTCTCACCAATGTATTTTTTGTCGCATATGCATCTTTGCCGCATTACTCCTGGCATCTCAAATGGAATTTTGTATTTGACGTATCGAAGATATTGACGTTATATTACTTTAGAACGTTTGATATGTGGTCAGTGATGTTTGGATGATGTTTTATTGCTATTGGCAGGTTGTGGTGATGTGTATTTTGTGGTGGAACGCTCAATATCTTCAATCTGGAAATTATTAGAGAGAAGAGCAGAGGTAAGGTGTTTTAATTTTGGGCCGGATGGTAATGTGACAATGCATTAAGGTGCGCCGGTTTTCTGTAAACACAGTGACCGAATGTTAGGCCTGATTTTCTATTGGTATGAATAACTAAGGATGGAAGGTTGTTATTAGTTTCTACTTCAATGGTAAAAGGTATGTTAGGGTGTATAGAGTTGAATGTCTAAGAAAGTCTACTGAGAATTCCTGACTATGAGGCCAAATAACAAAAGTATCATCGACGTAGCGTTATCATAATTTTGGTTTTAGATGATAGGTGTCGAAACCTTTCTTCTCCAAGGCTTCCATAAATATATTCGTGATGAATGGTGATAGTGGAGAACCCATAGCTGCTGCCGATGTTTGTTCAAAAATTTGAGCGTTATATGAAAAATATTTTCCAGACCAGCATTTTTCAATTAAGGTGAGAAGGTTTGGTTCCAGATTATCGGATTTTAATATATCTGAAATGATGGTGAGAGTTTCGGGAAGTTTCTTCGAAAAATTAATATAACAAATTACCAAAGAAAAATTCTAAATAGAAATATAACACCGTTTTCCGTAGATGCTTGATTTCTGCTGTCAAAAATGCGTATCCTACGTTTTTGTTTGCAAGTAGTTAAGGAGATGACAGATCTTAATTGAGACGTAGTTTATTGTAAGCTTTGACAGCGTCATAGCTAAAGCATGATTTAAATTGGGTTGAATTATAATTGTCGAACAGTTCCTTATTGCGAGTATTGATACCAGAGTTACATGTCCCTCAACGTTTTTCAAAAGTTCCAGACTTTTAGAATTAAATTAAATTTTATATTTATGAGAATCATTGTTTTGCGTTCCAAGAATAGTACGGGCTACCCATTTATATTGTATTTGCCTCTCAGATGATTACTTCGTGTGCTACTGCGTGCTAGCAAGCTAACTAAACATAAACATAAATATTACGAATCTGCTATTTACCATAGAAAATTTATGTAACTGTATTTATATATTTCATAAGTACATTAATTTTCTTAAACTTAGCTTAAAATACTCGTAGTCTTCATATTTTATATTCATAACAAAACGTTAATCCTAAGAGAAATTTTAGAAAGAAATATACGAACAAAATTTTGCAAATATTTTAAGTCAAAAGTCAAACAGCAATAAAATATGTTCATGTAAATTATGTTTAGTGCAAATTAATTTGGCGAAATTTTGCCGATATAAAACGAATATTTGTACTGTATGTGTTTATAAAATTTCAGTTAGATAATCACAAATTAATATATAATTATACACTTAAAGATATAAAAAATCGAATTGTTACTTGCGTGTTTTTGAGTATATATAATTTATAATTTGATTAAATTTTTTAGATTTTTAACAAAGTGAGTAAGAAAAGATTATATAAATTCAACGCCAATTTAAGAAGTGAATTTCCTTTTATTACAAAATCTCAAAACGATTGCATAGCACAGAAACCGAAAAGACGTTTAAATGTTGTTGCATCATCTTCCAAAATGCAGGATTTTTTCGTAAAACAACTTACGGAGATGAAGAAAAGAATTTATCATTAGCAGAACTTGTAAATAAAATGTGTCACAATAATTTGATTCTTGTGAAGATTTGTACAATATTTTAAAAATTGACAACAATCTACTGGAAGAAATTTACTCAAACAAAAAATGTGTCAAGGAATTTATAAATTGTAATTATATTAAAAATAAACAAAAATACGTTGATACCCCCCCCCCCCCCAAATAGAGTCGTCACGTTTTGCACATCTAAAAATCTGGTCCCCTTACGTTTCGAGGGTGATTATTATTTCTTTACTTAAAACTAAATCTATGATTTAAACCGTTTGTATAAAGTCAACTAGTGCAACTCCTCAAGGGGGTCTATTATAGTTACTTAATATTATGTCAATTATTGATAAAAGTAATTTTTGAATTATTGAAAACTTGAGAAGCATTTAATTTATTTAAGCTAAATTTGCATTAAAGCGTAACAATAAATCATATTTTTTATCTCAATGATAATAAATTTTCCAATTTAATAAAAGGTGCCCTCAATTGCATTCCAATCTGATAGTAACTAACTTTTTAATTATGTCTAAATTCACTACCCAATAAACAAACTTTACAGCAGAATGAGACAAAATTCACTATAAATTTTCTGAACATCGTAAAAAGCAAGGTGCAATCACACTTTTATTTAAAAAAATACCATATGGCGCAAAAAAAATAGATTAGATTTAGATATCCTGGGCAAAGTTTTTTATAATTGTTTATTGTTATACTTTAGTGCTAATTTCGCTAATTTTATTTTATAATATAAAGACAGTGTTATAAAAAAAAACTCAATACATTTAACAGTTCTTTAAGGACAGCCGTGTAGTGATTAAAATGTAAAATATAAATGCTGGTGTCATTTAGAGAATAAAAACATAAGCATAACATATTGATGGATTGTATTACTTGAAAATTGTTTCAACTTATAATTTAATGGCATTGAAATTAACAATGCCACCAAAACAATTTACCAAAACCATTACTCATTTTACGTATTATACATATCTGGTTTTTAATTCATATTAATTGATCAATTTTAATCTAATTTATTTGCTTTGAATTTGTGCCAAGAAACAAAAGAAAATACATACGATGGACGATATTTTCACATATTTGTGTACGTCTTATAATATTGAAAATAATTAACAGTGAACAAATTTTTTGCAAATGAAATGAAATAACTGTGAAAATTGGCAAACGATTTTTGAAAGCTGATGTTCGTCATATTCTTTGGCAAAGCAAATGGCCCCGGTCTAA